CGCGCTCGGCAACGCTACTGGTAACGCGTCGTCAGCGTTAATGATGGTTTATTCTCTCTCCGTCTCTGCGCTCCGGAAGAAGTAATAAAGAAGACAAATAAAAAACGAACGACGCGAACAATGACGCTACACGCGGATATATATATATATGTTTTATTATCATTATTATTTTATTTTTTTTTTTTTTGCGCGTTTTTTCTCCGTCGAATAATAGTAATCATTTCGCTCGTTCGTTCGCCGCCGCCGCCGCCGTAATGATGACGACAATAATGCCTTTAGGGGAGGGTTGCCGAGTGCGCGCGCGGTGCCGGCGGTGGTTGTGGGTGGAGGGGGGGGGGGGCTTGATATTATTATCACGAAAGAGCCGCCCCGGGGACGCCGCCGCCATCGCGAATCGTGACGTAATCAATATACGCGCGCGACGTTGGCGGCGGCGGCGCATTGCTCGGCTGCCGGCAGATGGAAGCACGAGCTTGAGGGCTGCCCGGTACCTGTGCGCGCGTCGGAACGTGCCCCGCGCGCGTTTTCCACACGGCGTTGCTGAGCGCGCGCGTTTTTCTGCTCTCGTGCGTCCGAAAAACGTCGGATCGACACGCGCATTTCTCCGTTTGAGTACCGTGTGCGTTCTACCCAGCGATTCGCCTGAAGAACGCTCGTTGTCCGTCGAGCGCTCCGCGAACCACACTGTTGTCGTTCGACGTTAATCGTCTCCAACCTAACGCGGCGAACGTGTTCGTGAACAATGAACGCGAAAAAAAAAAACGGCGCGCGCCGTTGACGCGGTTCGATCGGGAAAATAAACGACCGCGTCCAGTCGCGCGCCACGGAAAACGTCCCTCGAAGCGCGACCGCACGTGCGCGTTATCAGCGATTCCGCGGGAAATCGGTCGTAGGACGTCGAAGTTTTCGGGGCGACGCGGGGCCCGCGATCGAATCACGCGCGTTGTACGCGGTTCGCGATATCGGGGCCAAGCGACAAAACGAGTAGGGGAAAACGCGATCGGTTCGGCATACCGCGGCGGTATCCGAACGGTTAGCGGATTATCGATTTCTATTTCCAGGTCGTGTCGTTATTTCTAATGCAATCGATCGACGGATCGTTATGGAAACGGACGAGTGTTCACGGAACATTATAACCGATTACGCTTGGCGATCGAAAAACACAAACCGTTACGATTCAGGTGTTGAAACGCTTGAAAATCTATGTTTAAACAATTGTTTAATGATTTTTTTTTGTTCCTTATTTGTTCGTATCATGTTCAAAATTACGTAATCACTTACACGCACACGCTGTGGCGCACTGAAGAATATTATTTCTAACCGAATCGATACGTGATCGGCCGAATTCTATCGAAGTGAAATGGAATTAATTTTCGTAACCATTCATTACATAACAACAGCGTATAAACGCGTGTACCGTAATGTACTCTACAATATTATTATCATGACAACGGTTCGTACTCGCGCAAAGCGAAACGACCGTACAATCGAAACGTCACGAAAAACGAACAACCAACAAATGGCGAGAACGTCTGATGTTTAGGCATCTATCTCGACGGTGTGTTCTAACGCGCGTACAAACGCGTCGGCACGGCGTTTGACGAAACTATTATTGAACGCTGCCCATTACGCGTGATCGGCGTTGACCAACATTTATTTTGTTCCATGTCGAACGTTTCTATCGCTGTAACGATTCCTACGTCGATCACTTTTAGCGTTTTGCAACTTTTCGATAAACGCGCGCGATAAATATCCGAACCGTTGTCGGTTTATTTACTTTCCACCGACCGTCGGCAGTATATTCCGGTTATTCGTCACTCGAAACCCGTGTTTACGAGGTCGTATGAATACCGACCCAGACGATGGCGGGTGGACAATAGAATGAAACAAAAACGTGTAAGCTCGTGCGACACATCGCGAATTCTCGCTGCCCCGAAATTCCGCGGCGATACAATACAGCCGAAGGACGAAAAATCCTTTTCGTCGCTCGCAACCCGCCGTCGGACACCTCGGAACGTTCCGTCGTCCTCCCGTCGAGGGGATCTCGAGGTGAGTGGACGGGATTCCATTCCGCGTGCAATACGACCGCGAAGCCGTACGAGCATTCGATGGGCAACGCAAGACTTGTGTTTGCGGTCTCGTAGACCAGGACACCCGTTCGCGCCGTGGACATTCTTCGCGAATCGCCGGTGCAGGGTGTTGCCCGCACGGATCGACTCGCAACGGTACGCGTGGGCGTGCCCGTTCTATCTCCTGCACGGGCGACGTCCAAAAGTGGGGATTCGTTTTCAATTACACGTGCACGTAATGAAATTTAACGCGGGACCGCGCCCGCGAGTGATCTACGACGACCGGACGAGATCGGAACACACGAGCGCGCGGGTACCCGTTCCGCGCATGCAATACGCGTACATTCAAATACACGTTATACGTACGCCATCCGCGTGGTACCATTGTAATCCACCGAACGCTGTGGGCGAACATTTCCGCGGAGATTTGTTCATCACGTTTTCGCGCGGCGGGGAAACGGCCACAATACTGTGTACGTTCGTGTAACGCGCATAACATTAACGGCGCTAAGATGCATGAGGTCACGGCTGGCACGTTCCTCTCGCCGCGGCGCGCACGTGGGGCATCGGAGTTGTACGTCGAAAGTATTGCACTCCTTTAACCATACTCCTTAACCTTCCGTCGACGATATTTATTTTTATTTCCCCGCGAAGGACGGCGGAAATATGTGATTCGCTTGACCACCGCGCCGGTCGACGAAACGACGCGCACCGATTGTTGATAACCGTTTACTATTTATTGTCCACCGTTGATCGTTCGTCTGTACGTCGTGCGCTGGTGCACGGGGCGAGAACGGCGAACGACACATTTCGTGTCCGTTCTCGTCGCGGTGGTCCGCGCGTGTCCCACGTGGGCGCATTGCTGCGCAGAAATATTTTCCAATGTTTGTAGTACGGTCGCAACTGTGATTAATTAAACGGTATCGTTGAAACCCGTTGTACAGATAGTGTGGTAAAATCACACTTTTTCGCCACACGCAGCAATAAATAAAATATTTTTATGTATCGTTTTGATGCTCTGTCCCTGTAAGAATATCCGATCGACACATCGAGTCCCCCGTTTATCAAACCCATGTCGCGTCTCGGAAACGACGCGCGTTCACCGCAGCAGCTGCAACACGCGTTATCGGCGCCCGTTGTTCGTCGTCGTTGCCGTCGAAACGGCCGGAAGTAAAATGCGCTGCTTAGCCGCCCGGAGGAAAATTTGAGGAGCAGAAATGTCAAACGTTAAAAAAATGTGATTTCGATATCGCGTCGAGCGACCGACGCCCGTACAAATGCGAACAGTAAACATCATCATTTATTTATCCTGATGGAAATCGGTAATTAGCAATAGGACAGCTCGTGTTGTTGGCGGGCAAACGAAACGGTAGAGTTTTTCGCGGCTAAGATAAATAATCGGATTCGGTTCGTTTGGTAAAACGTAGAAATAAAAATCCGGTCGAAACGACAACACTTTGCGCGCGTTAACCTCATCCGCGACCGAGGCCGTGTCTAGAAATTTTTTTAGGGAGGGGCCCAAAACGTGTACGTAGTAATTTTATCGAATTCAGATTTTAACTTTTGATATTCTGTTGAAATTAACATCATATTTTCTTATAGATATTATGATATAAAACTAGAATCAGTCGATGGTTAATTGGAGCTTAAGTAATTTTTGACTGAAAATATTTGTGTTGGCATTAAAAACAAATAATTATTTTAAACATTCGTAATAACAATCGAAGAAATCTCGGGGGAGGGGGTTGAGGGGGTACCGACAACCTGCGAGAGGAACGCGGTGCGCGCGCTTGAAACGACGGCGCTAACCCGCGACTTCTAGGGGCGAGCGCTGTTCCACGTGTTTCGTACGCGCACCTCGACGCGTGTGCCTCTACAGCGTTGCCCGGCGGGTGGCGCGCGGTGCACGGGACCTTATGAAAAATGCATGAATTATGCAAAACAACCGTTTCCGAGCCGAGAGGACCGCCGACGCCACGGACGAAACAGCCGCAAGTGGCGGTACGTTTATATTCCACGTCGTCCGTGCGCATATGCCGCGTTCAAATGCTTTTGGCGTGCACCGGCGTCCGGTGTAGTGGAAAGAGAAACAATGAACAACTTATCGACGGACACGTCGCCGTGATCTTGGCGGTACACGCAGCGGCTGCACGCCTACGCACCCGCCCGGACCGTCAATTCATATCGTATACACGCGCACGCTGTACAACGCACGTGTATTGTTGTGCACGTCGACGGTTTTCAATGACGACCAACCGATATTATTAGATTTTTACTCCGCGGCAACGTTCGACCGCGCGACCCGAAGCTAACTCACCGTATCCGTTTTCCCGTGTACAGGCGTATTGCGTTTTTGAATACGTACCCGTTCGACCGATCGGAATCGGTTCAAATCACGCCGTGAGCATCTTTTTTCATTTTCCCCCCCCCCTTTCCCGCGCCCCATTTACGCGCGTTTCTGCGTTTGGCCAGCGGCGTTCGACGTAAAAAAATGTTCTCGTCAGGCCGTGCGCAACGGTCATCGCCGCCGCTATTCATATGCAACGCGAAAATACGTGTTAAAACCGTACCGATGCGTTACGCGATCGATTCAAATCGATACGATATAATAACAACGACTGACTTGCGTGTGCGTTACGTTCACGATATATAATCCGACTACCCGTCGCGGTGCACCTCTCGTATATTCCGTTTTCGTTTTCAACGCGTAAAAAGCTTGTCCGAATCGCGAGACGGAGGAGGTACTCGAAATCGATTAGCAACGCACGCACGACGACCGCCCCTCCCCCTCCCGGTTTCCGACACCGCGTCGTGGTACGTCTCTCACTCTCTCTCCCTCTCTCTCTCTCCCACTCCCTCCCTCTTACAACCTCTAACCCTCTCATCCCACTTTCTCTTCCGCCCACTCTGTTTTCGGCTCGTCATCGTGCGCGGATATACGTGTACACGGTGTAATTACACGAAGATTTTTCTGCGCGTACGTGCCGTTACGTTTCTGCATCTTTCCGTCCGACCCAGCCGACTGCACCGACGTTCTCAACATCCCAGAGCCTGGGTACGCGTACGATCCTGCCAGGCAAACGGACACGAACCGCACGAGGTAACACATTACTAGCGATTCTTAACGTCTTTTTTGATTCGTGAACCGCCTCGAAGTACTAGCTTAGAAAAAAATACATTCGTTTTTCCCTTTTCGTTTTATATTAATTTCAGAACCCGTCCGTATTACCATCAATGCGCGTCCCAACGATTCGTTGCGGATTGTTTAGTGCGATCACATTTTTTACAACCGTTTCGCAGAACCGATCGCCGGGGACTCCTTAAGGGTCCGCGGACAACTGGCCAAGAAACCCCGCCGTATAATGTCACGAATTAAACCGTCAACAAATCGTCTTGTATAAACGCACGGTTTTGTTATGCGAGTACGTATTTAATCGCACGAAGATAATACGCTACTCGTGTTTTTGCTGTAAACCGACGTCCGTGAATACGTTCCCGAACGATCTACGCTCGTGATTTCCATCGCGATCTATATATTATATCGATTTGTATAGATAATTTACGAAGGAGTAAATATCTTTGATTACTATTTTCGGTATGAACCGTTTTGGTCCACGCCATTTCGCCCGATCAAACTGTACCAACTCACCTATTTATACTCGTATCACAAATGTGTACGTTTATCGATTCGGACGGTACTCATTTCATACGCATTTGACGTATTGCATTGTTGACCATCGGGCGGCTCTTGAAATCGACAACTACCGGTCATCGAATCCAGCCGTTAAGCGTCCAGAAAATATGACGTTCTCGAGAAAAAAAAATATGTTATACGATTATTTTATGCACACCATATCGCGTAGAAGTGGTTTAGTGCCAGTATACAAGTGAAACAAAAAAAAAAAAATAATAATAATAATAATAATTACTCGCTAATTAAGCGTCCGAACACTGTTCTAGGTTATTGAAGTATATTATTGCACATTCAACAACTATGTGTAATTATAATAATGCAATGATTGCGTGTGTGTGTGTGTGTGTGTGTGTGTGTGTATTAATACGAGATTTTGTATATTTTTATCGTTTGCCATTATATCCGATAGGCAAGGTCACAGAGATAAGCAAGAATTATTTGACGTTATTAAATTTTACGAGAACACGCCGCCAGCCGCCGGGAAGTAGCTCAAACTTTTTTTACATACACAACCGCACAATGTAATGTATAAAAATCGCATTATACATACCTAACAGATAATGTAGGTACATAATATACTGTATACACACACACACACACACACATATGAATACATATATATGTATATCATGTAATACGTACGCTGCACAGTAAACACGTGCATGTTCCATAAATAATTTATACTCGTTTATGTCCTTTTCTACATATTTTACGATAAAAGGACGACAATAATATTTCTAGAAAATTATGTTACACGTAACACTACAATATTCATTCACTCCTACCGGATACTGATTATTATTATTAATATTGTTATTAAATTGTTAAACTGCACCGACAGGACGTGGCAAACAATAACGTCTATAAGTTTATATACATATTGATAACCAAAGGTGACACGAATGCGATGAAGGTGAAACTTGATGGATTAGCCTTTCAACAGTTTTTCAGTAGCCATCCAAAAAATATTCTAGGACATCGTCGAAATCAAACACTGTAGGTAATCGTTATTACCATCTTTTAATTTTTTTTTTTTTATTGTGTTATTATTATGATTATCAGTAGAACACGTTAAAAATATATATATATTCTTATTTACTTAAGTTAATGCTATACTGTACTTGTAGAATACATGTTTTTATTGTTATTGTATCTTGTTTCCATTAGGCATTATTACATAACCCGGACTTTGCAGTTCATCCCTCCTAAAATGTAGGCACATACTATGAGATATATTATAGATATATAGTTCAGCGGTTCCCGATATTTTTGGTTGTGTCGACTGCCGATCTAAGTGAGGTCCACTAACTTTTATTAAACTGACAAAAAAACAAAAATAAACAACCATTATGTACAAAATCCATGTGGGTACTAAAAAACACCTACATACGTATGACACATATATATCAATAATTAGGAAAACATACTATTATCAATTTTTAGTCTACAGCATGTATAAAAGAGATTGAAAATATTTTTTTTATATAGAAAATAAATGTATTATTCAACTAAGAAAAAGTGACAAAAGTTAAAAAAAAAAAACCAATATTATTTTAAGCATTGTTTTCCACGTGAGAGTCGATCTTAAAACTTATACTGAGGATAGTCTTAGACTCAAATCACTCTTAAAATCAAATTAATTATTATAATTATTTTTCAATAACTATCCGTTCGTGTAGATTTTTTTTTCGAAAAACCCATAAAATAGCTAAAAATTAAATTCTAGACAGTATTGTCGAATACTTTTCCAAAACAGAACCAATGATATAGTTTTGAATCACTGCCAAATCGTCGTAATATAACAACCAGTAAATATAAATACGTTTACACTATAGTATAAACATTTTGATATTGATATGATTCGGCATAAAATTAAATTGTTCGACGCTTGGCGTTTTAAACCTGCGATTTGTAGCTAATTTTTTTATCATCCACGGTCACCATTATTAATGGTAAATTAAGTAAAAACAATGATAAAAAAAAAATTTAATTTCGTGAAACGAACAACTTTGCTTGAGAAAGGTATTTTTTGATAAGCATGTTATTATCAAAATAACATTTCTCCTAAAATAAAAGTTAGTGAAAAAAAAAAGAGATTGGTAATATCAAATAATAGAAAAAAGAATTATTAATATAATTTTTTTTCTTCGTTACCTCATAAATAAAATTAATTTTTTTATAGTATCAGAAACAATTATAAATTATTTATATACCCATTGGTTGCTAACCGCTGAAATAAATTACAAATCTCGAGTTGAGAATCCGTGTTTCAATACTAGTAACCGAAGCGATCTTATAACGTTGTACGATCCAATCCGAGTCCTAATAACTCGCAAAATTATGTAATAAGAGTAATTATTAAATAAAAAATAATAATAATAATAATTATATTTATTCTATACTATTATTGCGCGTGCTACGGTTTAAACATGTTAAGACTGAATTTCAAACTCGCACCGATACTATTACAACAAGGACGATAAAGAAAGGAACGGTAATTTCTTTCTTCTTCTACTTCTCGTTAACACTAGGACTTTTCAAAAAAATCGAATCGCGTGAATCCTGTTGCCGTCAAACGGTTAACTACGGCCGCGCGGTAACGAATGGCCGTGGGGTCAAGTTTTAATTCTCGTGCGGTCGAAACGTACGAAAATGAAAAACGAAAAAAAAAAAAAAGAAGACTACCAAAATTAAAGAACAGGACCGGTGCATCTGGGCGTGCGTGCAATTATCGCGGCCGAAGGTCTTGGTTCGGATACACCGTTGTAAATAGCAGTCGTACCGGGGCCGCGTCCGGTAACCGATTGGGCCGTGGACCGCCGGAAATGATGATGCGGACTTTGATGGATTCGGACTACTACCGGAATGATCGCGCTCGGCCGTCGATTTATACACGTCACGAGACCGCCTCCCGTCGACCGGTACGTTTTTTAACCGCCGCGCGCGGGCCGTGCACGGCTCGCAACACGATAACATCGTTCCGGCCGTCGCCGCACAGAAGCGGTTTTAAATTTTTATAATTTTTTTTTTTTTTTTTTTAATAATCGACCCGTCAATGGCTACGGAAGAGAATCGAGACGGAATACGTACGTGTACCGCGTCGGCCGCGAACGGAGCCCGCGGGACGAGATCGGGTTCCGCCTCCGTCCGCGTAACGACGGCGATTGCACGCGCGCTGACGGTTAACGAACCGACGCGGTGATTAATAAACAATACGCCCGCGAGACGGCTCGGAAGGGTTAGAGCGGACGAACGTTTCCGATACGATTCACGGGACCGTGTCCTGTCGGGAACCCGGTTCCGTCGACGTCTCGTCTCCGACGTCTACCGTTCCGGCATCGTAGCGAAACGGCCCCGGCGGGTAATCCACGAACCCCACACCACCGACCGGTATTTACAAGGAAGTTCGAAGCGTACGGACGTTGACGCCGAAGTCAAAAACCGGCAGTCCTGGTTCGTCGAGAAACTTATCGCGTGAACTATTTTTGTTTCGCTTCGGTCCGGCACGTGTTTCGCGCGTGTCTTGTCGCCGTGCTCGGACCATCTGCGACCCAGTTCGACGGGACTTATGATTTCGCTCGACAGTCCTACGGATCGTTCACTACCGGGGGCAAATGTAAACTGGGCCCGCGATTACCTTTTTTGTTGTAAATTCGGCCCGGAAATTTCAGGGCAATAAAAAAGGTCGGTTGTAATCTAGGCCCGATAATATTTACAAGTGAAATAAAATGGCGATGTATGAACCGCAAATGTACAGCTTTTTTAAAATCGTTTGGAATAAATAATGATATTACGGAGGAAAATGATGATCATCTGCATGAACCTATCAGGGACCAAGTACTACAACGACAATGTGCTACCACCGTGGCCAAACGCAAAGGAACTGAGGATATCTGCAGTAAACAATGTGCCTAACGCGCAACATCTACAAATAAGTGATATTCAGTATGATAAAAGGAATATATACAACGCCTCCTCGTGGTGTCCTCTGGGTAATGCTAAATGGTTATCAAAAATAAGAAAATTATACAAATGTACATTTTTATCGTGGCCGAGTTTACACCTAAATTATTTTTACCCGCAAAAACCCCGGGCCGAGTTTACACTTAAATTGTTTTTACCTGAAATAAACGTGGGCCGAGTGTACAACAGACCTTTTGAAAAATTTTACTCCTCGAGCCGAGTTTACAATCGCCCACTACCGGTACAGGAATCGGCGGCCTGATGTCTTTAGATCGGCTCCTTGGGAGGCTCGTTGAACCTCTGCGGCCCGTCACTGTACGATCGTACATCGATCGTAACTGCGATCACCGCGGATGATTTTAGGGCGAAAACGTACTGCTGAAAAGTACGTGTCGATCGTTTTGACGAAGTGCAGTCTCGGTCGATGGTTTCCATCCGAATCG